TTTATTTTTAAATTTCAAATTATTACTCCATCTGTTTAGAAATGTTAAGTATTTTCTGAGGGGTTAGATATTTAGATAAGTAAGACATTTTTATTCTTTTAAAGTGTGATCATTGTTTTTTTTTAAATATCCCTATTAAATAAATTACTTTATGTTTATCTGAGGATGAAACATCCAATTAAATAGGAGTAAATATAAAAATATAAAATTAATTTAAAAATAAATAATTATTTTATTAGGGGGTGAGATTCGATTAAAAATTATTTACATTTTTAAATGGAGAAATTATTCATTATTTCTTGGTTGATAGAAAACTGACCAAAAAAGAAAAAATATTCACATCTAAGGCATGCGCGTAGAAAAAGATAACACTGTAACAAAGCAACTTTGCATAAAAATATACATATATCTTTATATTCGTTTTATTTCAAATCATAACTTAATAGCATTAGATACATCCAATTTTACAAGCATAATTGCTCAAAATGAAGACATACGCGCTTTCTAAGAATACAAAACGCAAAATAAATGAAGTTATATATATTGTGATATTTAAGTGTGATGTGAAAAATCTCATCGGATAAATTTGTGTTCAATATACAATCAATATATGATGACCCAGAATGACTGATACACTTAAATATGAAAATTTAGAGTGAAGGTTGTGACATCCTCCACTAATAATCATCCATTTGTTTTTCCTCCTATTTTCGGTAGTCACTTTGCCTTTCTAACAAAGTGTGTAAAGTGTGTGTATAATTATTTTAAAAAGAATTTCAATAATATGAAATAAATAAAAGAGTAAAAGACAGAAACGATCGCAGTTAAATTTAGTGAATATGTATTCGTTTAACAACCATGATGATCCAGGACCGGTTCGCTTTACATGTATACAATCTGTATATGTTCCCGCATTATTTTATATATATACAAATACCAAGAAACGATAGTAAATGGATAGAGCGTCGAAATTAATCCAACGCTGATCGAGACCATTAGCACAGGATACCCAATAACCGAGTGTTAATATATAGTGAAAAATTACCATGTATTCAATGTTGACCAACCTACATGTATCTATAAAACATCTCAAGAAGCTATTGTGCGCACCTAAGCCCAATAAACCTCATTTGTTTAAGACCGGGAAAATCATGAGAAAGGATCTAACCCTATATATATGTATATACGTATATATATATGTGTGTGCGCGCTCTCCTCATTGACATTAGGGTATAATCGATCGGAACGAGTTAATTAACTAGTGGAGCGGCTTAATTTGCTCAATGATGCAGCCACACTGCCAAATTACTAATGTTATTGGTTAAGAAGTATATTCAAATCAATTGCTTTTATTCTTACCATATATTGTCTTTTGACGTGAACAATTTTAAATAGAAATTAAAGGATCAACTTGATCATTATGTTCCTTAAATAAAAGATCATACGTTAATTATTTCGAATCCCATTTAAATCGATAATGCTTAAACATAACTGTCACTACTAAATGACATATACATGAAGCACGCATATACATATCTCTATAGTCCAGCTACATGATGATATGCATTATATGTAATTCAAACCTGTATAATTGGTTGATGAATTCAAGGTTTTATTATCAAGTTATACATAACCCTAATGGGAAAACGGAGACATGTATAGGCAGGTTTGAGTGACGGAAAGAGTGTGAAAGTATTAGTACTGGGCACACAAAAGACGTAGGGTTGCAATCAAAAGAAAATGAAGGAAAAGATTCGCAGCTTTATTAAGAGATCAGATGGGTTGGCTCCACTGCACAAAGATGGATCAACCCCACCACCCCCATGTGTTGAAGGTCCCCCGTTTCATTTTTGTTTGATACTTGTACTCACTCTTCCCTTTGTCTTTCTTCTTGTTCTTTCTCTTATACTTTATAATCACCATCTAATTATCTACTTATCTTCTGCTTAATCATCTCATCATCATCCATCAGGTAACTAATAACTAGCTATAGCTAGCCCTCATGCTTGCTTTAAAAAGAGTACCAGAACCCATGTGATATAATGCGAGTACCGCAAGCCAGCTAGGCCACACTTAAATGAAGGATTTGAAGATGAAAGGTGACGAAGGGGCGTACCTTAGCTATTGTGGGGCTGCCCTACACTCGTGGGTGTATCGTAGTCGTCCTTTTGTACCAAAACTAACCCCATTCACAAGTACCATTCACTTAACTTCTCATTAGCTCCATTCCCGGCTAGCTCGTTACCTTCATGCTCTCTCCTTCCTTAAACCAACACGACATTAGTACGTGCACCTAACTAGTCCTACATTCATGTTTGCATTCTATATATATGTTGTTCATGCCGATGATCTTGTTAATCTAGCAAGCATGGTCAAAAATATTTATAAGGAGCTAGTTATTTTATATATATATATATATATATATATATGGTAGCTTCTTCAGGATGTTAACGTACTGTTAATAAATAATATAACCCAAAAGTTGTGCAGATTACTTGTACATGCGAAGCTAATTAATTAATTATTAGACAGGCAGTGAATTTAAATTCTGTTGATTTTAAAATATCTGATTTAAATTTTAACAAAGTTTCATGAAAAAACATATTAAAATTGATCAGCCAATCATGTCTCTATTATTTAAACATTACCAACAGATCAGACTTGGGTAAAAATGTATTAGTTCAGTACTGGCATCAGACAAACAAACATGTCATTAAACATTTTCTACATCTTAAAATTATATATACCTTAACACCATTATTATGGCTATATCCAAGCTTTGCTCATAAATTATTACTTCTTAAAAAAAAAAAAACACACCCATGCATCAAGATATGGTTATAGATTCATGTCCCAAGAATTAGTGGAACAAATTAAATGATAAATAAGGTCTACATATTAATCCTATTTGTTGTGTGGCTAACTCTACCCCACATTGAAGAACCAATAACGTGATGGCCACTGTATTCTTGCAGAAACGATCGAATCACCTTGGAAGGAGAGAAGCAAAATATATAGTATTAGGTTAATCATCAGATCTTGTACGCACTCTAATACGTATACTATTTAATCCATTAAACTCACTGTTCAAAGTGAGATTAGCATTTGTTTAATTTGTTAATCATTTATTTCTGGATTGGGTAGCATGTGTGAGGTGGCTCCTAACCCACCTACTCACATGCTTCATCACAAGAATTCATTGGATGATCAAGCCGAAATGATTGGTCCAAATCAAAGTCCTTAATTCAAACTAACCATCGAAAGCTGCGTTTGAATATGATCAGTGCCAATTTGACTTGAGGGATATTATTGAAGCACTCAAATTTTTAGGGCGTCTCCTTTGACTCTGAACCCTGACGTTGTGTCGGTGTGCATGTGTGTTTGTGTAGTAGCAGTGTTCCAAATTAATATCGCTTCACATGTTAAAGTTTGACATTTTTTTTTTGAAATTTCCAATGGAAGATGGCCCCCTGAATTAGACTGAACATCCACTGAGAATCCCTCTTTTTCGTTAAATTCTAAAAGGAACTACTGCAGATCAGTGTGTCCTTTGTTTTCCCATTGGAGATTCGAAAAATCTTGAAAAGTTGGATTACATAATAATCTCACTTTTCTTCTTGAATCCAAACGATCAAAAACCAGATCTCGTGAACTCATGCTTGGTTGAATCGAAGTGGGATCTTAATTATTGCTTAATGACAGTGATATTTCACTTGCATTATTCTCTCAAAAGGATTTCTTTTTTCCTTTTTTTTTCCTTTTCCACTGCAAAGTGCTGATCACGATCTGTACAAGGCACAGCCTTCATTCCTCTGAGACCGATGATGATACCAGAATCATTCTTTTCCTGGAAATGGAAGATATAAGAAAAACTAGAAAGCCAATGAGATTCAAACCAAAAGAAAACAAAAGGGCCGATTTAATTGGTATGGTGATCAAAGACAACTCAAGCATTGATTTAATTAACGAAAATGCAAAACCACCATTCATTGTATATTAGCAGCCAATAGGGTGCGTGTCGGGTCATATGGAGCCAGAAGAGTGATTATTGCCAGCAAACTGTGTGTTGGAGCACCATGGACACACACACGCACACAACACATTCTTGATATTCAGTGGTTATATATATATATATATATATATTTTAGTTTATCTTATTAAAAGCCACTTAAAAACATTCTTAACTTGTAGGCCATTATTCAAACAGCAAACATGGGAGCAAAGAAGGAGCAGTGTATCTTAAGGTATGATGAATCAGAATCACAATAACAAAGATGTCATGAGCTTAAACAAGTAAAGGACTTTCCGGGGTGTTTTAAAATTTATCATCTTATTGACATCATGTACTTTGTTGCCTTAATTAATTCCTCTTGCAGGTTCCTGCGCGCGTGGTCCCTACCGATTCTGATGTCAACAAAGTCATCATTTGATTTATGCTTTTAGAAATGATGTGAGAGAAAAGGAAATTGTGTGGGCACAGTAGATTAGCGCCAGTGTGACCCAAACTACTGTAGCCCAATTACAATTCAACTTCAAAACTGCGCATGCACTCCATCTGTTTTTAAATTAAATATTAACAAATATTAATTTAATTCACACAAGTTAAGAAAATTGATTAATTTCAATAATTATGTCTGAAATCAAAATATGTAGATTGAAATAACTTTGTGATTAATCCTTCATTTAATTTCTATTTGAATCAAAATTCTTGTATATTTTCATTAGATTATGCTCGTTATGATAAAATTGCTATTTTATTCCTAAAACTGGGACTCAAAATTTCTGATTAAACTGGTATAGCTTTCTTATCAATTGAACTAAGTGCTTGTTGGTATTGGACGTATATTTGTAAAGATGGTGAAATCATTTCTCACAAAATCCCCCACCCCCAAAAAACAACTATGGTTTTTGTATTCAGTGCAAACAAGGCACTGTAGGGCTGTATAGTCACTAAAAGTTTAAAGACAGAATTAAACAGCCCATTAATGTATTAAAAAAAAGCCCATTAATCTCAAGGAGGACCCAGACTTCTATAGAACATGGGCCCCTGCAAACAAAAGAGGCCCGCCGTTTGTGACACGTAAAATAACCAGAAGAATATGAAGCTCATCTTCAATCACGTCGGTTTGTTCATGTTCACTCTTATTCATGGAATTACAAGGCCATGTTAAAGTTCGTCCACTTCACTTGGATTCACAATAGAGAAGTACAGTAAGTTATAATAATGTCTGGCATGCAGGATTATATGGGTGAGAGTTAAGGGTGCAATTCTGCTTCGATGCGAGAACCCTTGTAGAAGAAATTTCTGCGAAACTCAGCAAATTCCATGGATCTGTAAGTTGGAGCTGTTGAGTTCCCGCCGTTGATAAAGACTTTTGCAGGTTCTATGATGCTCTCATTTGATGGATAAACGAAATAAGCAACACTCGTACGCGAAGTTTTTGAATTTGTCACAACCCTATGTTCAGCACCCACAAGCCTTCCATTACTGATGATCTGTATATAATAAAAATCTATCACCGAACTATTTTCTGAATCATCAAAAGAATACGGTTAAAATGGGGATAGAATTAGATGTGTACCTGCAAGAGAAGGCCTATGTTGACGACGAAGCTATTGGGAAGAGGGTCAACTTGAATCCATTGTCCATCCTTGAGGACTTGAAGGCCATTGACGTGTTGTTCTTGAAGGAGGATAGTGATGAGGTCAGGGTCTCGGTGCTTGGCTAAACCCAAGGTTAAACTCGGATCTGGACAAGGAGGGTAGTGATGAACTAACAGTGTTGGATTCTCACTCAGTTCACCACACAAGTATCCACGGCTTAGCCCTAATCCTTCTTCAAGCAGCTCCAAGATTTTCAATCCCAGCTTTCTGAGTTCTTGCGCGTATTCCCCAACTACCTCGCTGACCAGTGGCAAATCTTGTTTTAAGTTATAATATGTCATGATAATTGAAACAATTCTTCGGGCTTCAGCTTCAAGTTTTGATGTTGGCATTATGAAATTGAAAAAAGTTTGCTTAATTAACCTTGAGCAAGTTGGGATTTAAAAAGAAACGTAAGACGTTACGTTGGAGAATTATTTTGAAAAATTAAAATACAGAAGCAAGTTGAGCTGCTCCATTCTTGAATGTGACGTCTTTAATTTCTAATTAGATTCAATTTATTTCATTCTATGTATTGTTAAAGAATGCTTCAGCGATGGGACATAAAAAATTATGTCGTTCAAAGAAATTAATTTCATTATGCACTTTGAGCTGGATTAATTTTCCAGGTCACATCAAATTTTTAAATCAAATTCAATTCAATGTCGTCCAATAATGGGTAACATTTTGACGGAAAACAGTTTTGATGAAACAGCCACGACTTGCTTTTGGAAGCATCCTTATCTGCGATTGTATTATACCTCCATTAACATGCATGAAAATGAAATATATGTGTGGGTGTGTGTATAAATTATTTAAACTGGCCTCCCATAGAGCCAATAAATTATATTTTGTTGCCAAAGAGTACATGTATAAACTTTGAGTAATGATACGTAAAAGAACGAAAGAAAGCAAATTATAAATTAAAGCATATATAGATAGATACATACATACCGGTAATTAGATGGTTTGCGAGGCCAATACTGTGTGTATTCCATGGAAGGAGGACAAGGGAGTGTCAAAGTGTCCTTCCAATACTGAATAGCGTCTTTGGTGTAATTCTCACTGCTTGTATACAGCTTACATCTTCCATTTGGGTCCCTCGAGCATTCTTCTAACTTGTCCTTCCCAGGCATCGCATGAAATTCTTTGCACACCGTCATCGTATTCTTCATTAATTCCTCTGAAACTCCATGGTTGATTACCTGTACTTCATCACACACACTCAAGAGCGTTAACATCTCAGCTAGCATTAGGAGACAATGTTTAATTTTTCTCATCGATTTGCCACCTTTTTCTCATTCTATGTCTAGGAAAAACACTTGGTATAAACCCTAGTTAGTAGAATCCAGGGCTGTTAACATATATGAATCGTGAAGAAAGGGAGGGAAAGAAATTAAGGTTTTGACTTTGAGTGAACGTGTTAACCTGGAAAAATCCAAAGTCCTTGCAGGCTTTCAAGATGTTTGCAGCTACAACTGCTGGATCATGTGCTCCGAGGTCAACCACCGGAATCGTCTTGCCGGAAGCTGGAATGAGGTTGCCGGGTCTGCTTTCCGGTGGTTGCACATAAGATGAAGGCACAGAGGATTCAACGTTAAACCAGCTTGATACTAGCATCTCATCCAAGTTCGCCATTCCTTTGTAGCCTGCAAATTCAGAATTAGATCAAGTGCACTATATATTTGTGTATAAGAGATTCTATATATAGTGCTAGTGAGCTGTATAAGGGCTGTAATTAAGCTCATTAACTCGTCTTAAAGTTGATTTGTGGTGAAGTTAACCTTACCATCGTCATTTCTCTAGTTAACTAAAGAAAGAAAAAGCTACTATATATAATAACCTAGCTAATGAGTAACTAAAAAAACTGAAATTCATTATGACAGTGTTTTTTTTTTTCAAATATTATATCAGTGTGGTATTTACCTGTGTAATGGATTAATTAATAAATTTGAATACATGCTTATATGTGCAAATTGATTGATATCATGGTCTGAGAGATATACTCATATTTATTAATACAATCACATATATTATATTTTATAAAAGTTGAACCCGAATAATTACTACTGTATCAAGAATCATGTTATCTACTATATATTTCTATAATATTTTTTTATTCATTGCCACACGTGCGCGCGGATGATACGTAATTCTGTTATTTAATTATTTTTCTGAAATACTTGCCAAAAGGTTTTTAAATAATTCTATGTGCAGAGGTCAGATCCGTTGTGGGAATTATATGGGATGTCAATTTTAGTCAATTCATAGAGAGGCTAACATTTTGTATAAATGGGAACGGGGATCGATGATGGAAATAGTATTCTTGTAATAATTCTATGTGGATGATGAAAGAAATCACTAGGTAGCTAGCTCTTTTCCTTCTTTCTTTCTTCCAGGGTTTCTTAAGGTACCATTGATATATTGAATATATGCTTCAATTTCGATTCAAATTAATTCTATGTATATAACATATTCTAAGATGGCAAGTATTCAGTTTTTTATTCTTTTGTGTTTTTTGTTGTATTGAAAGAACACACACTAGGATGTTACCTTGCTTAGTTATATGTAGAGAAAATATATAATAATAAAAAAATTACATTTAAAAATCTAAAAGGATAATTATTTATAAATAAGTATTAATATAAAATGAATTGTTATTAAAATAAAAATATGATTTTTTTTTGTTTGAATCAGACTTATAATTCATCAATGTTTGCTAATTTTCTTTCCACTTCCTTGGATGTTTTTTTCAATGCAATATTTTAACTGCTCACCCCATTAATAATTAAACATGAGTATATTGTAGAGCACTATATCTCCAGCTAGCTAGCTATATAGATCTGTCTCAAAGGGTATAATGAACATTTAATGGTCAGCACAGTTACTTTATGATGAGGAGATAGATGAGTTGAAATCATCTGTAGGTGTTGAAATTAACACGAAAATCAGGCAGCTGCCTAGGAGAGAGCTCGTGAGAATATCAACGTTTGGGCGGTGAAAGTTTTGGCTGGAAAAGACAGTTTCCTAGACTCACGAAGCCCCTATGTGCAGAGATTACAACATCATTTCATACCTTTTCCCTGTGCGTCAACAATTTTTGAAATCATACAATTGGTGAGTTACCGAAAGGAAGAATGAAATGATGGAGAATTAGTGCAAATTATAAAGTGAATTTTTAGTTTATAAAGCTCCACAATCAGCTGTCCATAAAAGTGATCGCACATTTTATATGTGGATGTGTTTAATTAAGTACTGGGTGTTGATGAACGACGTTGACAAACTACAGTGGCATGGGATTAATAATGGTAGACTAGTAATTACAGAAAAATATAAAAGTAGTACATTAATTAGTGGAAGAAGACGACATGATGAGAGAGGGACCAGGACACAACAAGTTCATGAATGTGGATGCTTTTCATCACGCCATTGAGTAGGCTCTGCTGCAAAATAGTGACTGCGTATTTTTCTAAAAGAAGCAGCTAGTAATGAGTAATTTTAGTCCATCTCTCACACCTACCTTCCTTTGTTTTCATATTGCTTAACTTTTTTTACCTCCTCCATTAATTATATTAATTAACGTAATTAATTCCCTCTCTCTATTTTACTTTCACCTTCACACTTCCATCCTCAATTCATCTTTAAATAGTGAAACATATCACTATGAATCTTTTTGGTCCTGGTTTATTCACACACACACACACACGCACACACGTATATGTATGTCTTTGACTTCCTATCAAAGCACCATTAATATTTGGCTTGGATTCAATGACTTAATAGTCAGTTTGGAGAGAGGGCTAATTTCTATTAATAGTCAGTTTCATAATTAGCAGTACATCTCACGCTTTAGCAAAATATGGATATTGGACGAATATTTCTTCACGGTTTTTCCTGGAAAGAATATAATAATAGGGTATGATTTTTCCACGAACCTGATAAAATTGTACTTTTGATCTGGGACTTTGTAGATTAGAGGCGAATTATCCAATTAGAGTCACGAGGTGGGGATTGACACCTGACAGCAATAAAAATACACAGTAGAGAGGCAAAATATCAGGAAGAATGATGGATTTGCATTGATTGTATTTAATACAGGCACTAAATATCTAATATTTAAATTATTAAAATTTAAATTAATTATTCAGATAAAATTATTTATTTATTAATTTTAAACAGGATATAAATTTAAAATTATTAATTTAAATTTTAATAATTTAAATATTACATATATTTAATATCTGTATTAACTACAGTCATTGAATCCAAATGAAATATAGATTTTTAATTAATTTAAATTAAGTCTAAATGTTAAATTTTAAAAATTTGACTCTCAATTCTATAACATGTGTTTCAAATTTTAACAAGCAAAATAAATTTATTTATTTTTTAATTATGTTAAAATTTTAAAAAATTATAAATTTATTGTAATAAAATTGTAAAATAAAAAGCTAAATTTATAAATTTTTAAAATTTAATATTTAAAATTTAATTTAAATTCATTAGTCCCTTGGGATCTATCATTCTCCCAATATATTACTTGGTGGAAAAGACTTTCCATATAAAATTGAACACTACCCTATTCTGTCCATCTAAACAAGTTAGGACGAAATGAGATGACCGCGATCGAACTAATTTTAGCACCATCGCATGCCTGGCCCCACGCCCCCACCCAGCTATATATTTTATATTATACACACGCACACATTTTGAAAAAACATGATTTTAAATTTTATTAATATAGTTATCTAAAACATAGCACACACCCATGAGATTGTTATCAACTCGAGAATAACATTAAAGCTGATAAGATCTCTGAAGTGAAAGTGCTATGGACTGGCATGAAGGAATTGCTCGATATTTTCAAGCCTTCATTGGATGGAGGTCGTGCCAAATTAAATCAGTTGAAGATGGTAGAAGAAGGTTATAATTCTAATCAATGTTATAAAAACGAATCAATTATTAAACTGATCGAAATATTGATTTATGATTTAATAGTCAGATTGTGGTTTAAACTAGAGCTCAATTGATAATAAATAAATTGATATATTTTAAATATTATATATTTAAAGTAGAAAGAAATAATCATATATAATAAAAAAAATGAATGTATAAATGTCAAACAAGATAATTTATAATTTATGACATCATTTTTATCCAAAATATATATAATTATTTCATAATTTATAACTTTAAAATATATACATACATATATTTATATATATATATATAATTCATACCTATTTCTTGCGTTTTTTCATTTCATCATGCTTGCGGGGTGTAAATATGTATAAATTATATTTTAAAAATATGAATTAAAAATAAAAAAATAACATGGCCAGTTCAACTTGTTTTTCATCAACTTTACTGATTTCGGTCAGTTCGTACCCGGTTCATAGAAAAAGTGACTTTTAGGTGTAATCGAATTGGACCTATAATAGGTTCCTGGTTCTTTTTTTTGTTTTTGTTTTTGTTTTTTCACTTCGTGGAAGTCGCAGACAATCAACATCCCTGAAAACCTGGTCTTGATTAAAGAATCGGATAAGTGTTAGGAATAATCTTAGAATGGAGCAAACAAAGATTATTGGTTTGATGTGTTGGGTCAAGACGCTTGCAATAATTTCCCACATACCAACATGGATATGCTCTCCGTTAATCATTTTGATATTCTTCTAAAACTCCATCTAACCTTTTCTTTCTTTCTTTCTTACTTTTTGATATATAGGAAACAAATTATGTAAGAGATAGTTTCTAGTGGTGCTGTAACTTCTCTCAAGCCTTGAGCTTGCCCCTCGTGTTAAAAAAAAAATTATGCAAGAGATAATATTTGGAGGAAAATTGTTAATAATAAATTCTTTATAACATAATATTTCACTGTAAGCTAAGTAATGGTTTCTATATATTTTAGTTTAATTAATGACCTTTAATAAATTTTCATAAAAATATTTTAACTAATTTATCAACACATGATTTTTAAGAGACGGGCCATTTTAAAAATATTCCAAACACAAGAATGAGAATTAAGAAAGAATAACCTACTATAGATAGTATAAAAAGGTAAAGGTTAATGATCCAGATTTTTTGAAAAGAAAAACAGGGAGAAAAATGTAAATAAAAGATATCACATCTTGCTTGTCAACTCATTTAAATTCACTATACAATACTGTACTTGGATATTTAAAATTTGAAATATAGTAGCCAATCCTTAGAGTAACAACAAATAGAAAATTGATTCATCCATGAGAGCAAGCAGCGGGCAAAAGTTTAGTTATACTTATTATCAACGACATGGCCACCTAAATTCTCTGCATTAATATCAATTCACATCAATATCAAACATAAGATATTGGGTAAAACAAAAAGATAACCCTATATTATAGATTTAGAAGCAATCCTAAACTTATTTGTATCACAATATTTCCTTTTAATTTTTTAAAATGATGCAATCCAATTCCTTCCGTTAATAAATAAGGACCTTAAAAATTACATAAAGGAACAAAAAATTACAATACATGATCCAAAATTATAAATAAATACTCAAAAAATTATTGAAAAGAGGCAAGGAATTTTTATTAGTCATTTTTTTATAATTTTTAAGGTTATTTTTTTATCATCTTTTAGTCAACAAACAGTTAATATTAATTTTGTTTAATAATAAGGAGCTAGATTATACTTTTTTTTTATAAAAAAAAAGTTGAAAGAGAACAATACATTAAAAATAAGTTTAAAAACACATATATTCCTTGATTTATAGTTTAAGAGTTAATTTGTTTTTTTACTTTAGAATATTTATAAAAATCTAAGACTGACCAAAAAAATGAAAAAATCACGGCCTTCTTGTAATCAACGTTCGATTTGCTTCGTTACAAGTTCAAACCCTTTTCGAGTCATCCAATTCAAAATTATCTTCTCTGACTTGACAAGCACGATTTCGAATACTAAGCAATTCAAAAAAGATAATGTGTATTTCTACAAATATCCAGGACCTCTATTGCATGACCTCTTTAAGTTTTATTTTGAAGCCAAAAATAAAAATCAGAAGCAACAATCTGCCAATACTATATGGTTTAAGCAATAAACTTATATATACTTATATATGAACTTAAGCCTAAAATTGTCTCATCAAATTAACCTTTTTATTATATATATATATATATATTGAATGTACTTGCTGATATATACTATATGATTTCCTTCTTCCCCTTGTTTATAATTACGTTAAAACAAAACATTCTAGAAGTATAAGTTTATACCGAGCAAAATCTAAAGAAATTCTTGGTGGGGCATTCTTGTAAGAACACACTCAGGCACACGTCATATAATTATCATCGTCAATATGTGGGAGAAGCTGATTCAACCGTGAATATAATAAGTCACGCATCAATCATTGCAGCATCAAGCTAGCACAGCCCGACGATGGATATAATCTTCGATACTCTCTCCTGAAAGATTTATTTGGAAGGTTAATTAATTATATTATATTCTCACACGTTGCTAAAAGAACTCCCAACAAAACTGGGCCAAACATCTGGATGAATCCCTCTTCATATCACTCAAAGATCCATTTTTTTTAATAGATTTATCTAACTTGATTCGAGCATTTTGGGTTCAATTGAAGAGATAACTCTTTTAAATGTGTTTTTTGCATTCACACGGACTAGAATCTAAGGTCCCATACATAATCCCTTTCATTAGAACTAATGCATGTCAGTATCCAAGATTTTAAGAAATCAACCGATGTATGATTAATAAAATCTTAATTTCCTCTTTCTTTACGCATAAACCTAGTCTACTTTGAAATCGAATTCTTCTAAAAGAAGACCCATAGTTGATAGTTCTATATAATCAATTGTTTTCTTTCAGCATTATCAAATCTGCTGTGGCTTCCCAATATTTACTATATGCGATGTATGAAGCTTGAGCAGATCTCGAAGTCTCTATATCTTTTGGCGCATAGTTACTTTTAACATTAAACAATGGATTAAGTTGCAATCAGTACCTATTTATGGGCAAAACAAGCACTATCACATGCGTTGAGCCAATTAAACAATGCCCTAGCTAATCAAATATGATACCATAAACAGTAGGGGTGGCCACGTGTTGGCTAATTGACTTGTCATTGAGAAGTTCATGTTCCCCACCACTGCCTTAATTGGAATCTTATGCGGTAATAAACAATTCAGTGATTAATTGGTTTAATCAGTTTTTTAAACACACTACACTGCCAAAGGTTTGGCGAAAAACAAAACTAAAGCTAGCTTAGCTAATATAATAATCTTATCAAGATAAATATGCAATCTAAAGGCATGGAGTTGCGGATTAAGTTGATGAACCATGCACCTGTGGGATGATCATTGGTTCGCAGGCCGCTTTCAAAGGGACAGCAACAACCCACCCCATCTTCTGCTGTTTTCATTGAGACTATGTTTGTCTTTTGTTTTTGGTAAAAAACCAGCCGAAGCCAACGACTTCGACTAACTTGGATTGAGCTGGATTAGGATCCTTTCCAGTAGAAGCTCTACCACCAAATTAAACACTGTTGCATTTTTAGGATTTGAACTCGAGACTTCTAATTAATTAAGCGGGCACAACTCTCCCTTGCTATTTATACCAAGCGCTTGTTAGTTTTGTCCCTAAATTCCCTTTTTGTGTTCTTATGACATTTTGTTTGAATATTTTGCACTCAAATTTACGACCTCCGTATCTGGTTCATTCTGATTGGAAAGGTAAAGTTGAAGCTGTCAAGCACTTCAAGAAAAAGATGAAAGAAGGGATATAGATATTATATTACTCGCTGATGACATCATGGTACGAATAGAAACTCAATGGAAAATTGGATTCAAAGTTGCTGACAATCAATAGGTATGTATGACCAACCACATGCCAGTGAGTTGTGAGGGGGTGTATATATAGGCGATGATTAAGAGACAGAACAAAGTGTGCCACAGACCTCGGAGATAGAAGTACATATATCAGATATATCACTATTTAAGTTGAAACTGGAAGTGAGACAAGCATAGTATAGCCATGATGATGGGTTCAGAGAAAGCGTGGAAGAAAGGGCCTTGGACTATTGAAGAGGATAAGCTGCTTACTGAATACGTGAACTTGCATGGTGAAGGAAGGTGGAGTTCAGTGGCCAAGTTTACAGGTAATATATAATATTGCACCCTTATATTCTGATTCTTCCATTTTTTTCCCCAAATGGAAATGCTAGTGAAAAAAGAAAAGAACACACACATGCACGCACATACTGAATTATTACTGACAGTGAATGTGGGAGTTTACTGATCGAAATGATTTCTCTTACTAAGTTAACCCTCGAGAACGGAAGACAGTAGCTAATGTTGAATGAGTGAGGTTTCAGGGTTGAATAGGAGTGGGAAAAGTTGCAGGTTGAGATGGGTCAACTATTTGAAGCCTGGGCTGAAGAAAGGCCACTTGACACCTCAAGAAGAAGCCATCATCTTTGAAATCCATGCTGTACTGGGCAACAAGTAATTAATTAATTGCATCAATATTAATCATATTTCTCTATTTCATTATCCTTTTCTTTCCTCTTGTTCAATTAACATACATAAATACACATGCACATGGTAATTACATTGAACGCAGGTGGTCTACCATAGCAAAATATTTGCCGGGTAGAACAGACAATGAGATTAAGAACTACTGGAGAACCCACTTCAAGAAGAAAGACAAATCCTCCCGTATTAATAAGAAGCATGAAAAGAGAAGATCAAGGATTCAAAAACAGATGAAACAACAAGAGCAGCAGCAGAAACAACAACCTCAACAGTATGATCTGCAAAGCAGGACCTCGTCTCATGCGGACTCAAACAATCAAACAAACTTTTCTGGGACAGTTCTACAAGACAACTACCACCTAGTTACCACCACGATGGAAGAGCAAATTAATTACTTTCCTTTCGTGTATCAGGATTACTTTCCATCCCCGTGGCCTCAAAGTACGGGAGAAGAAGATGAAGACTTGTGGGTTACGTTATGGAACCTTGACGAAGAAACACAAGGTCATGGAGATCATGTAAACCAGTTCAACAAAGTTTCCATTCCAAACCAAGTTACAACTTCTTCTTTCGATGATATTACCAACGACCTCTGCTTTGCGAAATACGTGTCCGGCTGAACTTCCTGACTTATTTATGTTGTACTCTTAGTGTTTGCAGCTATGTTATTCAGTAAATTTTCTTTTCTTCTTTTCTTCTGCAATCGAAAAATTGTAACTCATCAGTGTACTTAAACTAAACTGCTGTTTCTTGTTGGAATTTGAATGGGAACCTCCAAATAATTGATGCTTGAATAAGGAAGGAAGGACTCAAATGGAAGAAGTTTTTTATTTCCAACTCTAATAGTAATCTATACACACTCTTTTGATTTTCATAACTCCCACTCTCTCTCACTGTATATCACGTCACTCTTCTTTTCGTCTCACACACTTGCGTGCTTCACTCAGCACTTCTTCTTGCTCACTTCATTCGCTGGCTCTTTTTGGCTCACATGTCGGTTGAATTCTCCCACAGCCTTCTCTCGATTGTTCCATTTTTCACGGCCTTGGAGTATTAAAAAATTATTTCCAGGATCATCTTTTCATGGCCGTTGTGGTGTTGCTTCAGCTGAGAAAGTTTCCAGATTTTTCCTATCAAATATCTTCTAGATAGAGGGAGAGAAGTCGGTGATTTTTCATTTATTGTGTTCCTTCTTGGCTAATTTTTCTCACACGTATGCATGCGTGTGTTCCTGTATATTCGTTCACTCACACAAATGCTTGAGTTGACTACACTTAGGTAAACAGTAACGAACATTGAAAGCTATGTTGGATCTTTATATCTCAATTCATACAGGCAAGTAAAGTAATGTATGTGTACCTGAAGAATTTATGAGTGCTCGAGAAAGCTCGATTACCTTGAGTGTAAGGAGGTACACAACCCACAAGTCCCTAGAGCCTTCAGAGAGTTCGGAGATAATAGAGTAGAAGAAAATGAGTCGTGTGTTTGCGGTTATCAACTAATCGACTTATATAAATCAAATCGGTAACCATCTTATTAAATAATAAATAATTATATATCTTATTATTTCTGACTCAGTAAGTTAAGAGATAGGGAATAACTGATGGCTACTGGGTTGTGGATTGGGCCTTTGCCCATTGGGCTCACTTGTGTGGTCCTCCTATCACGGTCCATACAAGATTATAAAGATCAATCTGTTTGGGCTTATTAATTAATGTTAATCCATAATTAAATATTCCAACAATCTCCCACTTGGATTGCATTAATTAAGCAAGTTGTATAAACAAGCCACAAACAAAATTCAAAAAATAAAACTCCACAAAATCATTGAATCTTATGGGAAAACAAGTGATATGATTTCTCACAATCTGAATAAAACATGAAATTTTATTTCAAAACATAGCTCAGTAAGATAACAACATAAATCACTAATTCCTATGGGGAAACAAGTGACATGCATAGCGTACCATAATAGAATCATTGAATCCTATGAGGATACAAATGATATAAATGCATCTAACTGAACTGAACATAACTCACAGAAGAAAAAAAAAATAAAGCCTAAAGAAAAATTACAACATAAAAGGTTCTCAAACTCCCACTAAACTAGGGCATTAAAGGAATTCACAATACCCATACAAGTTACATGATTTTGAAAAACTTCTACAAGTAAGCCCTTAGTCAGCGGATCTGCAAGCATCTGTGTGCCAGGAATGTGTACCACACGGGTTTGAGACTTAGCAATTTTCTCTTTCACAAACATAAGTTTAATATCAAAATGCTTTGTATGGATGAAATTTCTGTGATTATTAGCATAGTATACTGCAAATTTATTATCACAATAAATGGTTAGAGGACATGATATTGATTCAACTAAGCGCATGCTAGATATCAACTTTCTCAGCCATATAGCGTGATGTGTAGTCTCAAAACAAGCAATATACTCAGCTTCCATGGATGAAACTGCCGTAAGTGTAACATGATAATATAGCCAGTCGTGGATTTATGATCATCCAGACAAGAGGCAAAATCTGAATCTGAAAAGCCAACAATCTCAAGATCTTCTGATCCTTTAAAGTCATAATCAGAATAACCAACAACCTCAAGAGAATTTGACCTTCTGTAAGTTAACATATGATTCTTCATACCTTGAAGATACCTCATAACTTTCTTAGCAGCCTTCCAATGATCCAGACCTGGATCATTTAAGTATCAACCTAGCACTCCAATGGTAAAGGCTATATCTGGTCGAGTATACACTTGAACATACATAAGGCTATCGACAGCGAAAGCGTATGGTATCTTTCTCATTTCAGCCCTCTTCTTATCATCTTTGGGACACTGTAACTCTGATAACAGTTCACCTTTCTGTACAAGAGCAGGTGAAGGAGAACATGAATCCATTCTGAATCTCTTAAGTACACGCTCAATATAAGTGGCCTGTGATTAACCAAGAATACCACGAGATCTATCATGATGAATCTGTATCCTAAGAACAAAGGAGGCTTCACCCATGTCCTTCATGTCAAAATGGCAAGACAATAGGCGCTTTATCTCATTGAGGAAATTTATTGAATTGCTGGCTAACAAGATATTATCAACATAGAGAACAAGAATGGCGAAATTGTTCTCATCAAACTTCTGGTAGATACACTAATCTGAGACATTCTCAACAAAATTGAGAAAGGTGATAACTTCATCAAATTTTAGATACCACTGCCTAGAGGCTTGTTTTAGCCCATAAATGGATCTCTTTAATCTGCACACTAGATGTTCTTTACCGAATTCAATAAAACCATTAGGTTGTGTCATGTAGACTTCTTCATACAAATCGCCATTCAAGAATGCAGTCTTAACATCCATCTGGTGAAGATCAAGATCAAGTTGTGCAATTAAAGCCATTACCACTCTAAAAGCATCTTTGGTGGATACCGGAGAGAAGGTTTCTTTCTGGTTGTAGCCTTTAGCTAGAAGTTTAGCTTTATATCTATCAATTTCACCTCTAACTCCTCATTTTGTTTTAAAGACCCACTTGCAACTCACTGGTTTAAACCCCTTTGGTAGCTCTACAAGCTCCTATACGTGATTGCGGTACATAGAGGCAATTTCTTCACTCATAGCCTCCAACCATTCAAAAGAATAAGAGCTAAAAATAGCCTCTTGGTAACATATTAGGTCTAAACTATCAATAGCATCTAAATTAAATTCCTGCAAATACACCATGTAATCATCTGGAATAGCAGACCTGCGAATCCTTTGGGACCGTCTTGGTTCAACAACCAGATCCCTATCATCCTCTAAAGGTGGTTCATCTTGAGTTTCATCCTGATCCACGGCATTATTTCTATCAACATGAGGGGTTGTCAAGATAGGCATAGGCAAGATGCTACTTTCGTCATGCAAAGTAATATGCCTAGGCACAAAGCTCCCACTATCTAAGGCATCTTCAAAGAAATAAGCTCGGTCAGATTCAATTACCCTAGTAGTGTGATTTAGACAATAGAATCTGTACCCACGAGATCCGATGCAATAGCCAATAAAGAAACTATCAACAGTTTTAGCATCAAGCTTCATCTGTTGTGGATTGTAAGGTTTTAGTTGTGCTTTACAACCCCAAACTCGCATATGCTTCAGCGCGGGAGTCCTTCCAAAATATAACTCATATGGAGTCTTTGGAACTAACTTGTTAGGAACTTGATTCAAAATATAAACAGCAATTTTAAGTGCATCACCCCATAAGAATTCTGGCAGTGAGGAGTGACTGATCATGCTCCTAACCATATCCATGAGAGTACGATTTCATCTTTCTGCAACCCCATTCTGTTGCGGGGTCCCAGGCATAGTATACCGAGCTTCAATGCCATGCTCTTGAAGGTACAAAGCAAATGGCCCAGGGTTCCTGCCAGTCTTAGTATATCTCCCATAAAATTCTCCTCCTCTATCAGATCTCACACATTTGATCAACTTGCTAGATTTCAATTCGACTGCTGCTTTAAAGGTCTTGAATGCATTAAGGGACTCACCTTTTTCACGCAAGAGTTCAATCCATCCATGATGAGAGTAATCATCTATGAAGGTGATGAAATATCTGAAACCACCCATAGCCGGAGGTGTGATAGGTCCACAGATATCAGTATGGATTAGGTCTAAAGTGTTCTTAGACCTCTTTGCCCCTTTGGTTCTAGCTCTAGCAGGAAATTTTTCCTTTATGCAATTAACACAAGTCTCAAAATCTGAGAAATCAAGGTCTTGTAAGACACCTTGCTTAGTCATGCGCTTCAATCTCTCTCTAGAGATATGACCTAAATGACAATGCCATAACATAGAGGAATTATCATTGGGCCTTTGACATTTATGCCCAATAGCAGCATTGATATAGAGATTAGGAAGTTCAAGTGACCAATTATTCAATCGATATAAACCATATATCAAGGAAGCGATACCAACATTAATGGAATCAAAACAAATGTCAATTTTCTCATTTTCTTGGAAGAATGAATAGCCACAAATATCCAATGCAGAAGTTAAAATTAAATTCCTCTTCATAGAAGGTACATAAATAACATTGTTCAAATGTAAAATATGACTAGAATTTAAATACAAAGAAACAATTCCAATACATTCAACTGATGCCTTGCTCCCTGTTATGCCAAAGACTGACCTCTGTACCTCACTTAGAATCTTCTAGTTTCTTAGCCCCTGTAGAGAATTCACAAAATGTACAGTGGCACCAGAATCCAGCCACCATGAGTCAAAAGAAGTTTCAATGGTGTTAGATTCAAAACAGACTAAAGCTAGAGGGGCAGTTTGAAGAATTGTACCTTCACTTTCTTATTTGTTCTTCAATTTGAAGCAATTAGCTTCAATGTGACCTGGTTTCTTGCAATAATTGCATAATCCCTTAAAGGGTTTCTTCCTCGACTTCTTACTCTTATTACCATCCTTCTTAAAGGTTGGATTATTAGGCTTTGGGCCATCATACTTCTTCCATTTTTTCTTATATGACCCTCCAGATTTGCTGCCAGAGCCACGGGAAACATAGTTTATTGAGTGAGAGGAATTCTTCTTTATAGCTTTCTCTTCTTGAGTGACTATTGATATCATCTAGTCAACAGACCATTCAGCTTCTTGTGAGTTGTATGAAGTCCTCAAGAATGTGTACTTTGATGGCAGTGATTGAATAACATGGTAAACTATGGTACTTTCACCCAAATCAATCTCATATGACTTAAGCTTGTTATAGTAATGAACAAGCTTCAGAATGTGCTCCCTAACACCAGAAACTCCGTCATATCGAGTATTGTCAAGAAGTGATAGATAGTAGTTCTTTTAAGTCTTGTCAAGCTGCTTGTATTTGTTACCAATAGCTTTCAAGTACTTTACTACAGTATCCTTTTCAGAAATGCTGTCCCTAATTTCCTTTTCAATTGTGTACTTGATGATCGCTAGACAAATCTGGTTAGACTCACTCCATTGTTTATGGAAGGCCATTTCAGAAGCACTGGATTCGGAAGAGAGATCCACAAGCTTGGGTTCTCTCAAAGCTAAATCTTTCTCAGAAATGGTCAGATACATAGTCAGGGACTCTTTTCAGTCATCATAATTAGTCCCATTGAGAGCCTTCACAAAGGATAGTTGCGTAAAAGCGGAAACTGAAATCGCAAAATAGAAATTGGGAAATATTAAATATGCGTGCATGACATAATTATAAAACAGAATTTCCTAACAAGCGATTATCAATTATGCAACTATAATCATGCACCAAGAAGGCTCATATACTATAAAATTTAACTCATACAAAAGTCCATACAAAATAATGCATTAAACATTTCCATATCTATAGGGTACAACAAATATCTAACACATTAAAGGAGTGCTATTAGCCTATCCTCAAAACCAACCATCAAAATCATATTAATAATGTCACACCTATGGGGTATGTCCATTATCAATACTACAAGATTCTAAGCATCACCAATAATTTACAAAGTCACAAATTTTATGACGTTAGAACAAAACAAAATAATTTTAAAAGGTCCTTAGGGTCTTTTAGGAATTAAGAAATAAATTTAGAACTTAAGTAAAAATTTTGAAAGATAATCAGGGGCAAATAAGTAATTTTGGAAGAGATTTGGGTCAAAACTGCAATTCTGAAGGTTAAGGGACTAATTGTAATTTCTAGAAATATAATGGGGCTAATTCATAAATTTAAGAAATTGTGGGCCAAAGGAGGTAATTTAAAACTGGTGCTGAAACGCAATTAACAGAAATATTTTTTTTTGTTGTACTGGGCACGTACGATTTGGGCCCAGTAGACGTGGTCCAGCCTACCAGAAACCAATATATATATATATATATATATTTTTTTTTTTTTTGACAACTCTGGGCCAAAACGAAATATGGGCCCAGTATCCAAGAAACCGGATCCCTGGGATTCGATTTCTGACCCTGTTGTTGGGTTTGTGATGGTCGTGTAGGAGAAGAGGAAGAAGGGAGGAATCACTAGCGAGCATGGAGTTCCAGCCATGAGCCGTCGCCGGAGCCATCGCCTGGAGCCAGGAGGAACGATGTCGTTCCTATCTCCGGCAAAGGAGGAAGCTGCTGTGAACCGTAAAGGGTCTTCACTAGCTGTGAGTCAGGAGGCCAGGTGAGATGAGAGTCAGCATTCACGTCTCCGGTGACGTGAACGCTGCTGCCGACACGAGAGTGGAAGAAACACGCCGTGTCACCGCCGCGAACCAGGCAAGGCGACGCCACGAACCTGAAGAGAAGACGCTCTAGATGATTCAAAGAGATTACTTCCTATAGCAAGATCACAGTGAAGAGAACGTGCAGTGAAGGAGAATTCTGGCGAACGTGCAGTGAACACGGATATGCAATCTCCATCAGCGACCATGAAGATGTTAGGGAGCACGAAGAAGACGAGAATAATGAATGCGATGATGAAGGCAATTTTTTTTTGTGCTTTCATCATAAACATAACAGAATTTAAAAAAAATTCTCAAATTCATACTCATTTTTTTGAATAATATGGATATAAAAAAATTATCAGTATAAGATAAATCTCTATCAATATATGTCATTAGAAGAATTGAGATATATAAATTTAAAATTCGTTACCAAGGCTCTGATGCCACGTGTTGGATCTTTATATCTCAATTCATATAGACAAGTAAAGTAATGTATGCGTACCTGAAGAATCCATGAGTACTCGAGAAAGCTCGATTACCTTGAGTGTAGGGAGGTACACAACTCACAAGTTCCCAGAGCCTTCAGAGAGTTCAGAGATAATAGAATAGAAGAAAATGAGTCGTGTGTTTGTGGTTATCGACTAACCGACTTATATAGATCAGATTGGTAACCACCTTATTAAATAATAAATAATTATATATCTTATTATCTTTGACTCAGTCAGTTAAGAGATAGGGAATAACTGATGACTACTGGGTTGTGGATTGGGCCTCTGTCCATTGGGCTCACTTGTGTGGTCCTCCTATCACGGTCCACACAAGATCATAAAAACCAATCTGTTTGATTTATTAATTAATGTTAATCTATAATTAAATATTCTAACATTCTTGTATATTCATTCACTCACACAAATGCTTGAGTTGACTACACTTAGGTAAACAGTAACGAACATTGAAAGCTATATTAGTATAAATTTTCTTGGCTCTATTGAATTGAGAACTTTATGTCCCAGTGGACACGACCTTACATTTTATACATTTAAACTTGCTTAGAAATATGATGCTGATCTCCAAGGGTCTATTTGTTTTCTGTTTTTAACAATAAAAAAATTTGAAAATTTATTTAGATAAGTAGTTTTCATTTACTTATTTTTAAAACTGTCATCATTTTTTGGTTTTTTTTAAAGAGGAACAACTTTAAGTTGTTTGTTTTATTTTTCTTATTTTTAAAATACATTACATTTGATTATTAAAAAATTATAATTATTTTAAATAATTTTTATTATTAATTATTACTATTAACTGGCTATAACCATAATTATCATTCTATTTTTTTAATTTTAAAAATGTTTTTAAATTGACATAGCTAACGACTTTTCATTTCATTTTGTTCTAAAAATTGTTTTGAAAACTATATTATAAATTGAAAAATGAGAACAAAAACCAAGCATGTACTTAGCTTCCTCGATTCTCATGCTTTATTTCGCCATAATCATGCTACTAAACGTTATGATGCCTTGAACATGACTGGTCGACTGGATGCTCCTGAGTTTATTTAACTGTATGATGATTGATAAAGCACTGAAATTTTGCCCCCCATGTTATATATATATATACACACATGCAAATTGCTAAGAATTCACATCGCCAGATGTTGAGAATTGTAAATACAGACCAATCAATATTGCATCATCGATATAAAACATACAAAGTATATATTAAGAGATCACATCTTGCGTACTGTGCATCTACTCTTAAATTTTATGAAAATGAATTGGGGATTTAGTTTAATATATAGATTATTAATAGAAGTGGTGGTTATAAGGAAACTTTACATGTTCCTTTTTTTTTTTTTTTCTGGGAAAGTTAGGGGTATATATTTATTTTGTTGGCCTTTATCTCATATTCTCATTCAATGGTTGACTCACGAATCACGATTTTGGCATGTAAAGTGAGACGCGTATTTTACTCCGTCCACGTGTCTCTTACGGAGGCCAAATGGTCCTAGCAGGAGCCGTTGGATTTGAAGTACAAAAAAGGATTAAGCCCAACGTTGTAACCAAAAAAAGATAAAGCCCAATGATTTGGATTCAGGCAACGTCCTTGCGATGAAGATACATGGGCCAAGGAAGAAGAAAGTTCATTCTGGAGGAGTCGTGCATCAGTAAAAGCAATTGGCCCATGCAGGTCTCGAACCTGCGACCTTCGCGTTATTAGCACGACGCTCTAACCAACTGAGCTAATAGGCCGTTGAAGTCGATGCGGAAAAATATATTACATGATTAAATCTTTAAATAATTTGAAACAAGAAATTTAAATCACCCCAGCAGATAACGAAGCGCGAGGAAATGGATAACATTACCTCAAGTGAATTGGCTGGATTTGGTGTGGGTACCCTGCTTCTTTGTGCCACCATCGCGGCCCCCAAAATCGATGCTTTCTTTTCCGCTTCTCAGCGCAGGTAAACGAGTTAGTTATCCTCTCGTCATTTTCCCCCGATACTTTGTTCGTTTCTGCAATGAAGTAAGCTTTGTTTGATTTCCTTATACAGTACTGAATTGCTGCGTTTCGTAGCACTCTTCTTGTTTAACCATGTCAAATCTGCCTTCAATGTTAATGGAGTACAACAAAAGCTCCTGGGTAGTGGGTAGTCCGTGAACATAATTCATGATAATCTATCTCATTTCAATACTTTTTTTTTCTTCTTCTCGTAATCTCATTTTAAAACTTTATTATTGCTATGATAGCTTATTATTTCCAAATTTGATGTCCATGAGCACCATTTTGTACTTGTTGGTAGACACCCTTTTTTCTTGATCACTAGGTGATTAAGTAGATTATTGGAAGGTCAGTATTTGATATAACAACTCATTAGTCACGTCACATGAAGACCCTGGTGTGTTTGGTACATGAATTTAATTTTCGATGCAACGTCAAACCTTTTTACATGATGTATGGATATAAAAAAAAAAATCTGAAGAGTTCTGCTGTTTATAGTTCTACATACAAAATAACATGGAGATGATGATATTTGTACACGTATGAAGCTCAAATGTTTTCCATGTAGGTCTATGAAGTCTTGGAAAATTAAGAGATTTAAATACCGAATGTCACCTAAAGAATTTCTGATGGAAATCATGGTAATGTTATGATGTCGTCGGTCATGCTTAGGGGAACTTTCATGTTTAAGAGTCATTGGGTTTTATTTGAACCGGGGATTTAACTGTTGTTTCTTTTCAGTCCATGATCTATGGCCATGTTCTAATGAAACATGTCTATTCAATCTAGTGGCATTTACCAGATTTGTTATTTTCCACCCGAGCTTCCTTGTGCTTTAGCTGATCAATATCATCTCCCTAGCTTCTCTCTTTTGGCCAGTTATTATCGCTCGAAACCAAATGATCAAAATAAAAAGAAAATAGCCGTTTCAAGGCAGAAAGGTCTGATTAGACCCAGTCCATAATGAAAAGTATTGCACTTCTGCATGAGGATGACCAATAGCAATAATAGTATATAACACAAAAATAAGCTCTGCGAACCAATATGAAAAGAGATGTATTAGCCTATTAGGTCATCTAGCTCAGTGCACAAGGAAGAGTATGGGAAATATTAGTTTTTAGATCCATTGGTTCTTTAATTGTCATGTATTTGTAATTTATCCAGTTTCTTCAACATAACCATACAATTCTTTCGGACAGCACTTACTTTTATAGCACTTGCTTGAAGTATAGCAGTTGTATGCTAGAAATTTTGGGGAGATCGCATTCATAATTATTATGTCAGATTTGTTGTGTCTTCCTTCTTGTTAGAGGGTTATCCATGCAACTCTTGGTTTTCATGGAGTTTTTTATATTTCCTGTATAAAATTTAATATCATGGTATTGATGCAATATTCTGTTTCCCATTTGTGGAAGTTTGTTGATTGAAGTTGACATGCCAGCCAAGTACATGAGTTGATTTGGCAATTGATAGCTTGTATGCCGCCTTCGTGTACTTCTACACGTAGTAGTGTAGATCATTATCATCCCATCCATATCCCACAAGCTTCATACTAAAGATTGGGTCTTAACTCTTAATGCAGCGATTCTTCCAAGCGTCAAGCCTTTTTGAAAATCATAGATGCTGCTTCTTAATCTGTCTATCAGTTTGTCTCTGCCCTTAATTTATAGATTTATAAGTATTGGTGGACTGCTTGACTATTATTGTGTTTTTTATAGTTCCCTTGATTTTTTTTTTTTGGGGCTGCTATAGTTCCCTTGATTATGATGAAGTAAGTTCTGATGATTAATTTTTATTGCAACTCACATAGTCATAAATGGTTTTAGCTGAGATATGAACAATAACAACAGTTTAAAGTTTAAAATGAGAATTGCATGGTTGTCAAGTTTTATTTTGATTCATGGATTAGATTGATCTACACTATTGAAGACCATTTCAACTCAAGGTTGAAGCTGTTAAATGGAAGTTCATCTACGACATCCCTACTTACGGCAGCTCATTAGGCTTGAAGTTTGAATAAAGCACAGACCCATTTTTATCTCATGCTTTAACTTAATCTTAATTAAGAGAATGAGGGGTGATCCTTTACCATTTTGGCTATACGTTATAGGGGTCTGCTATCATGTTAAAAATCAAGATTTTTCTAATTCACATCCCTTACAGTAGTCCTTTGGATCTTATTATGATTTCTAACATACTTGACATGTCTGTCGCAACCATTTAATGCAGCTCATTGGGTTTGTGTAAACGATGTGGCAACTTGAGGAGAATAGCATGTTCTAGATGCAGAGGAACAGGATCGGTTAGAGAAGGGGCAATATTTGCGGTTAAACTTGTAGAGGATTTGTATGAAACCCTTGGGAGTAACCCAGGAAAGCAGGTACCGTGCATAAAATGTCAATCCAAAGGTTACTTTTCGTGTCCTGATTGTTCCAGACTATAATCAGTTAGATTTTTTTCCCCCCTTCAAAGTCATGTAACAAATCTTCTCTGTTAACAAACATTCTTGTCCTCAATATAAAGACATTATAGTCGTATGCGCTTTTCCTTTGCTTGTTTTCCTTTTTCTTCCCCTCATAAATGGTGATATGTTGGAGAATCTTTCTTCGGAAACAATTTAGGTGCAGTCATCTATGTATTTTTGCTCAGATATTTGGTTATATGTAGATATTTTCTGCATCTTCGCACTATATTGTTGACTTATTTGACAAACGATAAATGCACGCACTCCCTATGTACTTTCATCCATTGAAAACAGACACTATGAACTTTGAAATCGCATAATACATTCATGAACTTTAGTATACCTGAAAGCAGACCTTTTCATCACCTTCAGCTAAATACTTAATGGATATCTATTGTGTGTGTGTGTGGAAAGATGAATAGTATGAACTTATTGTCTTTGTTTTAGTTTCTTCCTTGTAATTTTCCTAATTGTTTCATTATTTATTTACAGAGTTTAAATTATAAATACCATGTTGGAAGTATTGAACAATCAAAATATGCCACGTGTGAAAGGAAGGATTTGTTCCCAAGCAATAAATTTAATGAGTCAAAAAATAAGAGGGGTGTCATCATTCCTTTGAAAAAATTCTGCTTCAAGCCTTGTTGCAGTGAACCATAATCAAAATGATTTTTTTTTTTCCTTTTTCTTTTTTAACAGGATTCCTGGCATGCTTTCTTTATCTGTTGTTTTCTGTTAAATTTCATTGCATGCTTTTAATTGACAAACTCGGAACCCGATTCTTTCCTTAGTAGTTGTAGCATTCCACGAGGGTCGTCAGTATTTACTTTGTTACTGTTTGGGAAACACATTGATGCTCTTGCCTGGGTCATTGGTCCACTTTAGCCTTTAAGGATAAATTCTCCACTCACTCATGGGTGGCTTTAATTTCTGCACCACTTTATACAATTTTTTTATTACCAGCAGAAATTCAATCATGTCAGATCAACTATCAAGCAGTACAAGAGCTCTGGATGAAACCAAAATGCGTAGCCTAGGCATGATCCTTCATTAGAATGGAACTCTATATGATTCTTCTGTAGCCATAAGTTGGAATAAATTATGATGACTGTGTAATGAGATACATTAGGCAATTCAGGAAAACTTGGAAATTGGCTTTCTGCTATGTAGATATCTGAGTGAGAGGATGAAGCAAAATGCAGATCAAGTAAAACGGCGAGGGAAGAAATAATTGTATGATGTTACATTATGGTGGTTTTAGTTTTTGAGAACAATAACTTGTAAGAGAAACATTGGTCGCTCAAATTCTGAGCGGAAAGGTTCCAATCAGTGAGAGATATTAAAATCAGTGAGCTGTGATGCGCAGAAAAGGGATGGGAGCCATAGTTTTCTGAAAGAGCAACACAGCTCTATACGAGAGGCTAATGTTCTGATGCGGTTGGCAATTTTAAGAAAAGTGCAAAATCTGTGAATAATTCGACCCTGAAGTTGTAGTGTAACCAAGTCAATTTTTCCTATGAAAAATCAATTTTACCACTTTAATGTGTGTTTGGATTAGGACTGTTCACGAGACGAAACACGGGATGGAGGTACTTTAGCATGTGTTTGGATTAGGGATGTTTATGGGACGGGACGGGATTGGGACACCCCCATCCATGTCCCGTCCCGAAAAAAAAAATTAATACTAAATTTTAGTCCCGTGTCTCGTCCCGTCCCGAAAGTCATCCTGTCCCATTAGGAGTCGAGACGGGATCGAGACAAAATCGAGACGTCTCGCCGTCCTGATAAATTGAATAATATCGAAGAAAGATCTAGATAATAACGTTTATTAAAATTTTAAATCATATAATTTATTAAGTTTAAAATCAAAACAATACAAGTATATAAATTACAACAACTTAAAGTCAATTATTGAATTACATTAATCACAACTATACATTATAATAGCAAATACAAGTAATCTGTAGGCTATAAGAGTAGCAATAATAGGTAAGTCACGCACAATATCAAATCATTGTTCTTTTACTTTAGTGGAGATGTATTAAGTTAATTACTTTTCTGAAAAAATACAAGAAATATGTTATAAATAAAATTTATTAAATAAATAGATATGATAATAAATTATATTAATCTAATTAATATATTTAAAACGAAAAATAATGTATATATAATATTCGGAACGGGATGGGACATCTCAATGGTAATCCTGTGTCTCGTCTAGTCTCGAACTCCTTTCTTGTCTCATTCCGTAAAGTCTCGTCCCAATTATTTTTGGATCAGGACTAGACCTATCTTAATATGATCAAGACGATATCGGGCCAATTGGGACGAGTTCAAACAGAACACCCCTAGTTTGAATAACGTTTTTAATCGATTATTTAAAAAAATTGATTAAAAATGAAAATTATCCAAATACCCATAAAATGGGTTAATCAATTTTTGGGTCAAAAATTGATTTTCTTCATAAGCTAAGAAATTGAGTGTTTTGAGGAAAAGCTAATGAAAAATGTTGAGAAAATTATAAAAAAAGGCTAAAAAAATTATAAAAAAGCACATAATTTAATAAAAATAAAACCAAACTCTTTTCTATTTTTTTAATAAAATTCAAACTTTATATCTTCAAAAAATTAATATTTAATATTTAAAAATTAAATTATATAGTATTTTATATATTAAAATTAATTCTGATTAAATTATTTAAACTTTTTAAATTATGTTAAAATTAATTTTAAAAAATTAATATTCAAACATATCGTGTTATAATATAATCAATTATAATTAAAATTTAATACTTAATTAATTATTTTTATAATTTATTATATTTAACTAAAATTTAAGTGGACACTTGCAAGAAACTCGTAAATACGTAGTCGAGAGAGTCGTGCCCTATACACTCTGATTCCAAGCACAGTTGCTCTTATATTATAAAGATGTCAAACCCACCATTGAATTTGATGGCGCATATCACCCATCTCCAAATACTGTCAGGATTGAATTTTCATATTAAAAATGTATTTTCTTTTTTCTTTCATTTTTAATATGTTAAATAAATTATTGATTTTGGTGGGGAGCGGATACGGATTGCCATTGTCAGGGGTTAGAATCTGGTGGAGCAAAATGAAAAGGGTGAAGTTTGCTTTTCCCGGGCACGCGACCGACACAACACACGTCGACGGAGGGTGATACAGCGGCCCCAAGCTGCCGCTCTCTCCTGCTGACACGTAATACTGACAGGGCAGTCTCACGTCTCCGTACCACGTCGCTGCGCACGCGCCGCTGTTATTTGTTTTCCATCAATCGGGTTTGCGTCACCTGGCACTGTGCATGCCCCCTCCTATTGCAGCTCGACACGTCACTCTCCCTCTACAGTTTCATACAACCTCGGGATTCACCGTTGATAATGGCCCAACACTGGAGTGGAGCCCAACAATGATTTTAAAAGCAAGTAATTTTACATCTTGTCCAAAGTAATTAACTATTTTGGAGAGAAGGGGGAAGAGAGAGCATTATGTTGAATGAATTGAGTGATTCAGATGACTAAAATTTGTTGCGTTAGTGTTACTTTTAGGTGGTGGTGTGATTATGGGAGTGAGAGAATAAAAGAGCCGAGAAAGGTAGAAGGGGAAATCATGTAATTTAGGCCACTAAAAATGGGAGCAAAGTGGAATTGAAGGGGGGAGAGAAAAAAAGGGCAAAGCAAAGGGAAGGGCATATTTTGATTTCCATTTTTGGAAAAGGGCGCTGCCGCTTCCCTCATAATGAGTTGCCTTATTTGGGATGTGGTTAGTGGCTACTAGTAGCCTGATCAATGACCCCCTCCTTTGTTATTTTTACGGCTTTACCCCCCCTCTCTCACTACATTTAATAGGGGAAGAATGGGAGTCCAAAAGGTTAAATTAACAACAGACTTATTTTTAACAGCGACGTCAACCTTTGTTCAACTAGGGGATGCAATTATATAAACTGCATAATATTATTATATTTTATCATATATTTTTAATAAAATTTTAAAAATAAATTATAAATATTAATTTAGCAATCACAAATTGATGAATAATAATTGCAGATAATGCATTTAAAGTTTTAAACCTACTTCCTTTAATTATAGTATAGGACATTTATAATTATTTCACCGTGCTAAAAAAACTAAGGCAGAACCTTAATCTCATAAATTCTTGAGGAAATTAGCTCAATGACATTAAAAAATATAACTCTAATAAATTATGAATAAGGTTTTTAAATATTTTTGAATATGGTCCATTCATAAAATCAATTAGATATGTTTTCCTTTTGTATCCTCAGAATAAATTTATGATTAAAACATAATATATTTGATTTAACTAATCTTTAGTTGATTGAATCTTTCATTTTTATTATAAAAAATCATATTATGCATACTCTTTCTCTGATTTATCACCTCTGAATATTTTCTTTATTAGATTTTTGGATCTAATTTTCTTGGATCATTATATTCATCTCTCGTATAGTTCTTTTCTTCATTAAAATTTTTGATTTAATTTTTCTAGATCACCATCTTCATCGTAGAGCTTTTCCTTTCTTTCCCTCTCTATTCTTCCCCAGATATTTCGACGAGGATATTAGACATTGAAAAGAAAACTCCATTACTGATTTGCAATATTATATCATTAATATACAGCTGTATATAAATGATAAACAAATTGATAAATGTTCACTGATATAGCTTATATGTTAGTGATATATAATAGTATATCATTGATATACTATCGTAAATCAATATAACCAGACAATCAAACATAAACTTATGTAGCATCGCAAATTAATAACATGAAAATAGAAAATCATTTTCTCAAAATAAATCAAACAAAATCTCAAGAAATCCTTACTTGAATTCTGGCTTTTGTAACATAGTCTAATCGGATTTCCTCACCCTAGATCTGCAGCTTTAGTATGGCTTTATGTAGAAGCTGCAATTTCAGACTTCCTTACCTTGCATTTGTGATTTTTTGACCTGAGTCTATAGCTTCCAGTCTATCTCACCTCACCTTGCATTCTTTTGATCTCCTGACTGAACCTCTAACTTTGTTTATCCATTAATGTGAGTTATTTCATTATTTACTGTCAATTTCTTTGCCATTGTGATCGAGAGTATAGTGTCGTCTCCATGTATTTGAGTGGGTGAAAGTGAAATTAGTGTGAAAAAGGAGAATTAGGGTATTGTGATATTTAAGAGTATTTTTATCTTTTGTATCAAAGGTAAATTAAAAAATGGTCATTATCATAATTTAAGAAAGGGTGAGTTATTAATTTTATTTAACTATATAATATTGGCTAAATTTGCTAAAGCCCCTAAATTCTTTTGCTTATTTTTGACAATATTATTATTAAAATATTATATAAATATTTCAATAATAAAAATTGAAATTCTAATGTATCATTTAAAAAAAGAATAATAAATGCAATGAGGATATAGTTAAAAAATTAATTATAAAAATTAATTAATGCACAAACAAGGCTTCTAGAATATGTTTCATATTACAGTTCAAAGACAGAAACTTCTCGTTTGCAATTGTCTGATTTAATGTTTGTAACTTGTTTTTGCAAATTTTTTTTATTCATATACCTATTTTGTGAAAAAATTATTATTTTAAAACTTAAATGTCATTCTCTATTTCACCAAAAAATAAAATAAATGTCATTTTCTATCTAATCTCCCTACTACATATGTCTCACTATGGTCTCCCCCTACTCAGAATTTGAATTTGGTGATTGCACTTAGTATAGGTGCTTATCTAAACTGTTAAAATTTAAATTAACGGTTGAGATAAATATATTTATTCATTAATTTTAAATAGAGTATAAGTTCATAATCATTGACTTAAATTTTAATGGTCTAGATGATATAGGCATCGAACTAAGTACAATCACTGAATTCAAATTTCACTACTCATGGCTACATTTTCCACTCCTAATTATTATCTCTCTTTCTGTTTTGGTTTCATATAATCCCCACTCAATCGCATCATGAGTTATGGAATTGGTTTTGGTGCTCCCTGTCTAAACTTTAGACCAGATTTACATATTTTATTTTATATTTATTAAAATGAAAATTATAAAAAATTTAATAAACCTATCTTATCAGCAATTTGGACAATACATATTTAATTTAATGGTCCAAATTAATAATTTAAGTATTTATAATTTTTATAAATTAACTATGTAGATATATTTTGTACAATCTAAATTTAATATTAATTTTTTTAAATTTCTTATAATTTTTTAATTTATTAAATATAATATTTAAAATAAATATAATCTTCAAATTGACATTTTAAAAATTTTAAATCTTGAAGAATAGTTTTAAATAATTAATTTATAAAAATTTTAATATTAAATTAAACCATTAAAATTAAATTTATGTTATTTAGATTGATAATAAAATATATTTATTAATTTTTTATAGTTTTTATTTTAATAAATATAAAATAAAACTTAC